TTCTCCATCCGTTATTAAGATTATTTTTTTCCCATTCTCTCTGAAGACATTAATACTTCAAGGTGGCCTTGACCTGCTCCTTCTTTCCTCTCTTCCTTGACTGCTCTGGGCTCCCACTTTACCTTTCTTACTTCCTCTGATCCCTCTTGGTTTACCGCCTGCACTCCCCTTGGCCGGTCTCTCTCTGGCTTCAGGGCAGCCTCATTTCCTGACTTCTTTTTGATCTTTATCTATTTTTGCCAACGTGTGCCTCCTCTTGGACCTTTTAAACCCCTCACCCTTAAACCTCTTTCCTCACTTTAGGGCCTGCCATGGCGTTACATGCTTAAATATTGTCTTCCGCAATTGGGAGCCATATGACCTTTTGTTTGCAGAAATCATATCCATATTCATAGATGGCAAAGCATATTTTATAAATCAGAATGCATTGTGAAATACACTAACCCATCCTGCTGTTTCAGCTTGCCTAACAGAGGAAGCTACAGTCTCTTGCAATTTTATTCCAAGGAATAAAGACAATGTTTGGCAAATGAGAATGTACCCCAGCTCCTGCCGGAGGGAAGATACCAATAAATCACACCCCTGTTAATCCCTGTTAACCCTGTTATACAAATATTAACCCCTGTTAACCTGCTGGGGCTTTTGTCTCCCCAGCAGTACCTCTGAGTGCAGGTAAATAATAATAATAATAGCAATAATAATAATGGAATTGTACATAAAAATATATTTTTCATCTGGATGTTTTCCTCCTTGTCCCAAAGCACTGTAGCTTCTGGAATGATCATCGAGCATCCAACTCTGTTTTTCAAGAACCAGCCATGTCATTCAGCCAATAAAGAACTGAAGCTAAATTACTGACTTTTACAGTAAAACAAAAGAGGAGATGAAGACTAGTTTTTATTGAACATCTACATTTCAGCACAGGGTTAGACGTTTAGCCTTATTTGAGCCTCAAAATGATATTACTGTATATCTATATGTGTGTGTGTATATATATATATATATATATATACACACACATATAAATATAGGTATAATCTTAGCTTAGACTGCATTAACAAAAATACCATGTACTGAGTGGCTTAAACAACAGAAATTAATTTTGCACAGTTTTGGAGGCTGGAAATCCAAGATCAGGGTGCCAGGATGGTCAGATTCTGGTGAGAGCCCTCTTCCTGACTTGCAGATGGCTGCTTTCTTGCTGTGTCCTCCATGGGACTCTACTCTCTTCATTCCATCATGAGGACCCCACCCTTATGGCCTCAGCTAATCCCAATCACCTCCCAAAGGCCCCACTTCTTAATAACATGACACTGAGGGTAAGGGCTACAACATATGAATTTGGGGGTAGGGGAGTAAATATGCATTCAGTCCATAAGAATATATGTGCCAGTTCTTACAGAGGAGGAAACTAAGGCTCTGACATAGTCCAAGATCACACAATGAGTGAGCAGAGTAACTTCTGGACTCCAATCGCTCTATCTCTCTGACTCCAAATCCAGGTACATTTCAAGACTGGTTCTTTAAAATATATATATAGGAGAAAGAGAGGGAGAAATAATTCAAAGTCTGTGAAATCTTGCAGTGATGGCGGAGCTCACTTCCTCTCACGGCATCCTGATGTTTTCATGATGTGGGAAGTAAGGCATGGATTGAGGATTATGCTCATCTAGTTTTTAGACTCGTCTCTGCCTCTGTTAAGCAAGTTTCCCCCGCTGGAGCCCCTCATCTCCTAAATAAAGGCATTAGGAGGTGCTATGTGAGGTCTGTTCTGAATGACCAAAGCCCTCATTTGTGGAGTGATCCTAATGTACCATGTGCCAGATACCCTAGTAAGCTCTCATTTAAATGTCCCATTGGCAACAAATCATTCTTTAGATGAGGAAAATGAGAGTTCTAAATGTTAAATTAATCCACCTAGCAAGTAGAAGCAATTGGAACACAGATCTGGCCTCAAGATTGTGGTCTCAACAAAAATTCCAAATAACAGTTTAAATACTCTTTCCAGGAGAGTGCACATTCCTCTTAAAATATGAAAAACAGCTCCAGGGATGGTCTTACACATGAAGGTGACCAGGGAACTCTAACCCCATTGATCTTCCTGCTATAAACACAGTCCCTTAAAGTGAAAGACGTATCCAATCTGCCTCCAAGGTCAAATCCTAACTTCCCCTAAGGCCATTCATGGTTGTGGTCCATTTATCTGACTACAGCTCAAGGATATAGAGACGGAGGTTTATGTGCTGGGATTTGAACCTGCGGCTCCCAGAAATCTCATGGGTGGGCAGATGCTCCACTCATTAAGCCCTCCCACTGACTCTGCCTTGCTGGCTGTATGTCATTTTTGTTAGTTCCCTGCATGCCATGCTTATACTGCCACTGACACTGTGCACTCTGGTAAAACCTTTCATCTTCATATCTCAGGCTGCTTTTCAAACAGTAATTAATGAGGTCTCATAACCCCCTGATGAGATTATTATGTATAAACACAGTCTCGTGCACGGCCCAGCAAATTTTGTCATCAGGAGTTGTAAGTTCAATTCACACCTCCACGGACCTCAGACTACCTTCACAAAGGCAAAGGAATGAAGAGATGAAAAACGGCGATACTATAATTCACATCACGAAAAACTCCTACTGTTGAGCAAACATTGAAATATTTTTGAACATATAAAATTCATGGGTAGCATAATGGTCACTCATGGAACACTGAAGTTGGAGGATAGAAGATAAAGGTCTTCAATCTGCCATTGATACCGAGCTCACAGAGGTGATGTCATCAGTGTATCTTGGACAGCAGATTAAATCCCCTAAGCCATAATTCTTCATATGGAAGTAGAGATAATGAGAGTTCCTATTTTACAGACTTCACAGAAGAGTTAGTTGTTCAATCAAGTCAGACCATAAGTCACAAAGAGTTTTGGGGCCTGTGAAGTGTTATACAAATATTAATATTTGCAGTCACTATGACCTGAGTTCACGATGACCTGCAGGACAGAAAGCTCAGTTTAGTTTTGTTTACCATGCACTTATTGAGCACCTAGAAATCCCTGCAATGATTCTGGAGATGGAAGGTACAAAGATAGATACAATTTATTTTCTTTCTGAGGATTGCTTGCCTCATTGGGTCTATGCCAGGATACTATGGAGACAGATTTTGGAATTTTAGTCAGCACTGGTTGCAATGCTGTCATCATTCCCTATTTTTTTTTTTCTTTCTTTTCTTCTGTTTTGCTTTTCATAGACAGTGTGAACACAACCACAATGTGGGATTGCTATAGTCTGAATGTTTTTGTCCCCTCCAAATTCATATGTTGAAATCCTAAGCTCCAAAGGTGATGGTATTATTAGGTGGAGACTTTGCGGGGTGATTTGGTCATAAGGGTGGAGGCTTCATGAATGGGATTAGTGCTCTTATAAAAGAGATCCTACTTACTCTGTTCTCTGCTGGGTCTCCAGCTTGTACACACTAAGTGATGGGACTTGTCAGCCTCCATGATTGTCTCTCCATAAACATAAAATTGGTTCTATTTCTCTAGAGAACCCCGAGGAAAGGAAACCAGACACAAGAGTATATTCTGTACAATTCCACTTCCATGAAGTTTTAGAATAGATAAATTAACCTATTATAAGAGAAATCAGAATCATGGTCGTCTGAAGTAGGGGGTGGGAATTGATGAGGAAGGAAACAATGGAACTTTTGGAGCCGATGAAAATGTTCTATAGTTTGATTGAGGTAGTCGTCACAGGTTTGTATATATTTGTAAAAACTCATTGATTTGTATACTTAAAATGGGTACATTGGTCTTATTGTTGTAAATTACACTTCAGTAAAGTTAGTTTTATACATGAATACAAAGATTTTATCACATTAATAGTTGTCCAAAATATTGGTTTCTTCCCTCACAATCTGGCTAACTTATTCATTAGACGAGATAAAAATAAAGGGCCCCCTTCAATTGGAAGCTTCTATATGTCTAACAATCCATGTGAAATTCTGAAAATATCAGACTCCACGTGGGAATGCTCAGGTTCTTTTTTTATGAACAAAGGGTAAGCTGGCAGCACCTGCTCTGATTTGTCAAAACCACGTAGTCTCTACCATGTGGCATTTCACAGAACTTTGGGAACTCAACAAGCCTTTACAGGAGTATGTGAGCACACTCGAAGTATGCTTCTGAGGAAAAGAATATATTGGTTCTAGCTATTAGTACCTGCTGTTCAGGTGTGCTTAACTCATGGGAAGATGAAAAGATCTGGCTCCTAAACTTTCCCAGCAGAATATCATGCTTCATCATCTCCTCTCCCATTTGGTACCTGAAACATAAGGTTCTCCCTTCAATGTCTAGGATGCTGTGTTGACCCCAGCTCTGGATAACAAGTTACATTTTCTGAGTGCTTACTCCGTGAGAGGCACTATAATAACCACTTTATGGACATTACCTGGTTTATTTCTCAGAAGGACCTGAGAAGAGATTATCTTATTCCTTTTGGGTAAAGTGACTAGTGAAGGGCCATGCAAGTGACACAGTTATCCAATGGAATCCATTGTCTGGATTCCAATCCAAAGGAGACGTTGACATGCATGTGCGCTAACCATGGGGAAACATCACCTCCTTGATGACAGTCTCTGCCAAAAGCTGGCTTATAAGCTCTGGAATTGGAGACAGCTAAGATCATACGACTTCTGCCCGTAAATGAAGTCATATCAGCCGAATAAAGTTGTACAGAACATATGATCTCAGGCCACTGGCAGAAACGTCATTTCTGTGATTCTCCCCTCTCTTGTGTCCTCTGGTAGGTCAAGGCTGGGGGTCTCCAATTTTAACTGCATTTATGTCTTGGGACTTTTTTTTTTTTTTTTTTTTTAGTGGTACGCGGGCCTCTCACTGTTGTGGCCTCTCCCGTTGCGGAGCACAGGCTCCGGACGCACAGGCTCAGCAGCCACGGCTCACGGGCCCAGCCGCTCCGCGGCATGTGGGATCTTCCCGGACCGGGGCACGAACCCGTGTGCCCTACATCGGCAGGCGGACTCTCAACCACTGCGCCACCAGGTAAGCCCTTGTTTTTGTTTTTAATAAAATGATAGCAGAATGAAATTCAGCTACATAACCTGTGGGAACCCGTGCAAAATAGATGGTTGGACCTTGGTCAGGGTGGGAAGGTCAGTCTCTACTTCCTATAGGTCCATTGCTCTAACCCATGGACAACACCCCAAGGATCACAGAGGGGGCAACACCCCAAGGGATTGCAACCTTTAATTACAACAGGAGCATGTTAAGTACCTGGGTCAGGGGTGGGCAAGAGGCTGCTGCCAGGTTGCCTGCTAAATGCATGATGGTGATACCAAACCAGGGCAAGACACCCACCACCCCGCCCCACCCCAAGAGGCCACAAGGCACTGGCCCAACCCTACTCTGACTTGTGCCCGCATGCTGGCCCCCGCTGTAGACAGAGGATGATGGTGTAATCCAGTCTTTTCTCTGCCACTGAGATCTGGTCACCACCCAGGATGGAGGGTGGCAGTGGCCATGAGGTGAGGGTGGGAAGGTAGAGTTTGGGCAGGGCTCAGGGCACCAGGGTTGGAGAGTAGAGTCTGAGGGCACATCTCGAGAAGGTGGAACCCCGTGCGAGCAGTGTCGCTGAGCCCTCAGCACATGCACCATCGTCCCATCTGACTTCTCTCACAAAACACAGGTTCAAAGACAAGATGATTAAGAATTTCAAGACAGCAGCAACAGAGCTTCAAACCCATGCAGGGGATCCTCCCGAGTCGGGGGCTGTGTGTGGTGTGACCTCACCTACAAAGCTGTCCCTGGCTGAAAGCAGTGCATGTGATGGTTAGGTGCATGGGTTTGGGGGTGAGACTGCCTAGATGCAAATCCCATTCCACTGCTTAGTAGCCATGTGTCTTCTGGCCAGTTACTTAGCCACGTTGTGCCTTAGTTTTCTTATCTGTAAAATAGTGTTACCATGAAAATTCAACGTGTAAAATGACTTAAGCACTCAGGCTGTAGTACTTGGCACATAGTAAAACTTACGTGTTAGCTATTTCCTCATTATTTATTAATATTTCCCAGATAAATGTCCCAAAGCCCTTGTATGCACGTCTCTAAGCAAAGCCATTTGTGCTACTAATTCACCGATGTGAGTTATAACGTGTATGCTTCTCTATTTAGTCATCTCCTGCTGCATGTTTTTATTATTGAATAGATTGTTTCAAGACAATATTAAAAAACAATTTGTAAAAAGGGAAAGAAACTTTACGTGAACATACATACATAATTGTTTCAATTTTTGCATATAAGATACAAGCACTTGCCAATATGCATGCATATTTTTACAAAGCTGAAACTGTATTGTATATATCATTTATATATTTTTCACTTAACATTAAATTGTAAGCATTTGTTTGTGATGCTACATTATCATAATCATCATTGCAATGGTCGCATAATACCCTATTATGTTGATACATCATAATTCACTATAAATTATTCCCCTATTGATGGACATTTAAGTTGTCCCATTTTGGGGGCAATTATGGCTAATGCTATGGTGATGAGCACTTAGCTTTATCCTTTTGTTGAGTTATTTTCTTGAGATCCATTTCCAGGAGGGGGATTACTGGGGCAAAGGGAATAAATATATGTAGGCGTCTTTCTACAAGTTGAGCCATTGCTTTCCAAAAGGATAATTGTAATAATAATAACAATAGCAGCAACAAGGGGCATACTCTGCACAGACTGTGCTAAACTCTCAGCAGGTATTATATCATTCCATTCTTTCTATGGCCCCAGGTATTCTTTCTGTAATTCCCCTTTTATGTATGAGGGGACTGAGGCACAGGGAAGTTAAATAACTGGTGCCAGCCCATATATTTAGTAAGTGGAAAAGCTGGGAAAGGAGCTAGTCTAGTCTGATACTGAAGCCTGTTAATTACACCAGGCACTTAAACACTCCCCTTTGTTTCCTGCTCTCCGTGTAGTGAGGACCCTATACATTTTCAAATATGTTCCCTTTGGAGTCCCCGTAGAGATCCCCTGCCACCTCCACACAGTGACTGTTTGTTCTTTGGATGCTTTCTCATCCTATGTAACATCAGAAAGTAATGGCAATTGTTTACCTTCGTCTATTCTGTTCTTGTTTTTCTTTCCCTTCCCTCACCTGCCATTTTCTCCCTTTCTCTCTTTTACTCCTTCTCTTCTTTCTTTTCTCTCCCTCCTTCCCACATATTTGGAGGATCTTTTATGTGCTAAGTTTTACTAGAAGCTGATATGGAGTCTTTATCCTTTTGTTGTTTCCTTGGTTGCCGTCACATTTTCCCCTTTCAGGTCTTTAAGCAATTGTGCCAAACGTTAATTAAAAATTTCATCTACTTTACATTGGTATTTTGCAACTTATTTTGAGTGCCGTTAAAATTTAATTGGTGACTTCATATTTTTCTTTAAATACTCTAAGCTATTTAAGAAGTTTACAGAAGCCTGATCTGTAATTTGCATCCATCTCAGAACAATTTTTTTTTCAAAAGAACATGTTCATAATATATGTCATATATATTTCCATAATATGCAAGGGAATCAGTCTAGGTGTGTGCAGACTTTCTTCACACACTTTTTAAGACAAACATTTGGGATAAAGTGAACCATATTTTGTTCCACGGTGTTCATATATTGTCCAAAGCATTTTTAGTGTAGTGTTTATCTACTCCTATTGTGTTTAATGTAGTATCTATTACAGGAAAGAAATGTTCAGATGGTTGTAAGCAAACAGTTACTGAGCCTCTATTCTGTAACTTAAAAATAACTATGAGAAAAAAGAGACGGGGGATTAAATAAGTTAAAAAAAGAAACAAAACACAAGGAAATTGAACAGGTTGCAATATGTCCTGAAGTGGAAGAATCATCCCACACCCAGCACATTCTATTACAGATGTTACAAGAGCACCAGAGAGAGTCTCCAAACATCCAGCACATAATTCAGTGGTGAACTTTAGAACTAAGCCCGGCTGAGAATAGCTTTCTAGATTGCAGTGCCCACCTCTTGGGGCTTACACGTCCCTCTATCTCTCTCATTCCTTCTCCTTCTCACCTCTTTCCCCCTTAAGCCCCTTTCAATCTACAGCAAAATGAAACATTCAAATACATTATTCACTCCAGAAGAAAATGTCAGCTCTTTCTTTCCTCTCCCCATTTATTGTTTTCTCTGGTTTTCCTCCTGGCTGCTGCTGCAGACCCAAGTCTCAGTGGTTTTGGTCTGTGATATTTTGAAATAGAAAAATTGCAAGGAAATATTTCCCTAAGCACCTGGGAGTTGAGCAACTGAAAAATAAAAAATCAGAGGTCTCAAATAGCGTGCTTTGGCTGTGGTTGTTAATGGGGTGCTAATGAGACGGGACACAGACAAGAAATAGATAAACCCAGGTAGGTTCTTCTAAGATCCAGGTCATCTTCAGGCTCCAGGGGATCCTGAGCCCAAATTATCTTTTTCAAAAATAAGAACAGAAAAGAAAAAATATATTGAGAGTAGCCAAAACCCAAAGACATTTATAGAGCAGTAATAATGTAAATTGCAATGGCTTCCTACCGACATTGGGAGACAACTTCAAATTTGTTTGTTTTTGCTGTGTTTAGTGCCTCAGTATCTCCATAGTATCTACATCTACATCTCATTCCTCCATCACCTCAGGGTCTCCAGACACAGAACTGTGCTGGGTCCATCTTCAAACACACAGGAGGTCTAGATAAACCTTTGCTGAATGAACTGCCATGGGAGATGCAGTCATGGAAAGAAAGTCCAAGCAAAATGACTACTGGGAATCTTTCCCTCATCTTTTCAAAGAATATCGTGCAACCCAGCATGCCTTCATATAACAAACAGACCGCTTATGTGATACAAGTGAGGAGCCTTTCAAATGTCTGAGTTATGACATCTACTGCAGTATTGCTTACAAAAGAAAATCAAATAAGGGGATACCTTCTCAATACTATCAGTGAAGAACTGAGTAGTTTCATCCATTAAATGGACTAAATGTTGAAAGGGATGAGTTCATGTCTGCAGACATCAGGAGAGGCCCATGTCATATTTTAAGGGGAATAAATAATTCTGCATATACAATACATGGAATTAACTAGTTGCTCATATGCATTTGTGTATCTGTAGGATGTAGCAGAGTAGCTAACATGTGGGAGTTGCCTTTTTGGCTCAGACATTGGGCTAATGTACAGTATCTCACTTAATCCTCACAAGCAATCCAGAGAGATGGGTCATGATATTGAGTCCCAATTCTTCACTTGAAGAAATGGAGACCCAGAGAAGCTGAGTCACTTGCTCAAAGTCACACAGGTAGGAAGTGGTAGAATTGGGACATGAACCCAAGTAGAAGGAAGCCAGAGCAGTGCTGCTAACCACCAAATGCTACTTCCCAGCCACACTTGAAACAGTGGTTCCCTGCGGGTGAGAAGAGCTTTCACTTTCCATTTTTTGGACATCCATTTTGTTTAGTTTTAAGCAAGTATTGTCTTCATCATAAAAATAATTCGAATTTTGAAAAATTAAAAAGCAGATTCCAAATGCCCTAGGGGTTTTTATAAGCCATGATGAGCTAAGACAGTGTGAAAAAGAGGAAAATATTTACACTATCAATGACCAGAGAAGTGAGAAAAAGAAGGGAAAGGCTAAGGTAAGGGAGGAGATGGTAGAAGGAGAAGAAGAAGGAGACTCCTTTTCTTTCTCTATGGCTATAGAGCTCCAGGGAAGCTTAAGAAGGTCCCCCAAATAATAATAACATCAACAGCGCTAGTTTGCACAATCAAACCACAACTAGCATTTTTCATAGTGTTTGTTTTCAAATCCCACAAAATCTCTTCTCTTTCCTTCCCTCTTCCCATGTGTTCTTTGCCACCCTACATGGCATGCCCCTGTGGTCTGTTCTGTAACATCTGTGATGACAAGTTGAACTCAAGACATAAATTAGACTTTTAGTTATTTGTATAGTTTTCCTATACAAGACAATCGAACAATAACCGGTTTCTGTTATTTTTAATTGAATTAGGCAACATTGTGTGGAACACAGAATTGACTTGCCCTATAGTTTTGCCCAAGGGAAAGAAGGAAAGGAAGCAGTGCTAAGGTTTAGGCCAGGCAGAGAAAAGGGAACTCATACCCAAGGTCCCTGTGACCTCAGGGGACCCCTTCTGTGCATGAGTCGGTTGGCCTTGTGATTGCACGATCACCACACAGCACTGAGACACCAAGGTGAGTTCAAGTGTAGAGTGGGACTCTATCCTGGCCGCTGAGATGGGTCTGGCACCTTGGGTGACATGGGTCAGTGAAGCCAGCTTTGTTAATCTCCTAGGGGGACATGACAACTTTTCTGAGTTTTCATGAATAAAATGGGTCTAAAAATGGGTCTAATTGCCCTCCTTTCCAGGGTTATCATGAATATTAAATTGGATAATATATGTAATGCTCCTTTCAAATGATAAGTCCTATATATATATATATAGATATATATAGATATATCTATATATATATTTTTTTTTTTGCGGTACGCGGGCCTCTCACTGTTGTGGCCTCTCCCGTTGCGGAGCACAGGCTCCGGACGCGCAGGCTCAGCGGCCATGGCTCACGGGCCCAGCCACTCCGCGGCATGTGGGATCTTCCTGGACCGGGACACGAACCCGTGTCCCCTACATCGGCAGGTGGACTCTCAACCACTGCGCCACCAGGGAAGCCCAGTCCTAAATATTTTTGATACTCCCTTTCTCCTGTTTGTTTCTAACTCCTGTTCCCAAAACCTTGCCAATGCTGTTTCCCCCACCCACAGAGCTTTCCACTTTTCTTTAGGAAAAAATACCAGCTCTCCCCTTTAATATCTGATTTGGAGCTCAGATAAAAAAGCTCAGATAAAAGCTTTCTTTTGTCTAACACCAAGCAACACTGACCTAGATTCAATTGTAGAGTCTCCCCAATGCTCAGTTTCCCCACATCCAAAGTAAGATGATTGGAGAGGATAACTCGAGTCTCATTTTAATATTAAACCTCCTTAATTCTACATATTTTCATTTCTCCCTCTCTTCCCTCCTCCCCCTCTCTGTGCATTTCTCCCCCTTTCTGTGTCACACTCTGCTGGTGAATAGAATTTAAACCATAAATCAGATTCAGGTGTTTACTTGCATTGCTCACAAATAGAAGACTTAATTGTGCAAGAATAGGTTCCCACTTTTCTGATTGAATTAGTCAGTTCTGTGTCTTTCTCCTCCCTCCCTCCGGCTTTTCCTCTATTTTTAGATAGACAGTCTGAAAAGTCTTAATATATCAATGACATTTATAACACATGTTAATATCTAAAGTGTCAGTGCTCTATTTGTAGAAATGACTGCTCTGATGAGATGCTTTTATTATATCATGACTTTTATTATAAGTAGGATAAAACTGTGCACCCTTTTTTTTGAAAATTAAGTAATAATAATAAACTGTTCCCTGCCCCACTTTGTCCAACTATCAACTTCAAGTACTAGGTTTTCCTTTTCTGGGGGCACTTTTTATAAACTGCTCTTTACAATTTCAGGGTGAATATCTCTCTCCTGGAATAGATGACAGCAGGTTCTTCTGGAAGAATGCATTAGGGAGGTAAGTGCAGACACCTGGGGATCCATTTTATCATCTTTGTAGCTTCACAAGCTCCCTAATGGGGCCCAGAACCTCAGAACTCTGGGGGTGGCCAATGCTTTATTCTTTATATAAAATGTATAACCCCCATTTCTGTACCACCACGTTTTGCCAGTCATTAAAGTGCATTTTACAATTATATGAGTTGAAAGTTAACAGCATCTGTTTGGGGAGCACACAGACATGGGCTGGAGTTGCTGTCTGTCCCTTACCAGCTGTGTCATTTGGGTAAGCCACTTAGCCTCTCTGAGCTTCATTTTTACATATAAAAAGTAGAAAATCAATACAGCTACTTCAAAGAGATGGTCTGAGGATACAATTAGACGGCATATGTAAAATATTGACCACATCTTGAAGGTTCAAGAGTAGGAACCATTGTTACTTTTTGTTGTAATTATTTTTATTACTACATGAAGGATTTCTTTCTTACTCTACATCTCCATGCTGACCTTCTACTTGTTTGACCTGCCACCAAAATTTAGCTAAATGTCATTTGTCACTTTCTGACTGTCCAACTTTATCATGTCCCCTCCAGACCAGCACCTGACATGCACATATACAACCTACATTCTAACCATACAGAAGTTTACCTTCATTTTCCAATAGGCCAGGATTTTACAAGCCTTCATGGTTGGTCTTGCTCCGCCGTCTGCCTACCTGTCTTCCTTTCTCCCCTCAGCTCACTCTCCAAACTCAGCTTAGATTACACCTCCTAAGAAGCCGTCGCTTGTCTGATTTGAGGTTAACCCACCTCTGTGAACCTATAAAGTCCTCTCTCTGCTCTAGCCTGGCTTTTGCCAGAGTTATTAATGTAGTTGACTGTGTCACTTCTCAGACCATGAGTTCATGGTGGGCAGATATTCTGACTCATTTGCCTTTGTATCCCCAAGTCCTAGCACACAGATCACAATAACTACGTGTTGATCAGCTGACTTCTGTGCCTTTCTGATCCCTCCTGGTAGATTGTCAATTCTTCCAGTTTGTGGATAACTACTTGGTTTTTGCTGGCCTCCATTATCTCTAGCACAAGTCTTTATTTATTCAGTAAACATTCTTGAGTGTTTACACACTACTTGGACCTAACATAGATGGTGAGGTATGGTGATCCATAATTTAGAAGAAGCAATTCTTTGGCCCTTCTCTCCACACCAGTCATGTCTAATGTAATTCTTCAGCTCTCATCCCCTTCCAGGCATTGGGAAAGGTGAAAGGGGCAGGATTGTATACAGCCACTTCTTTTGTGTAGCATACATTCTTTTTACTCACATCGTAATGACTAGCATTTAATCCCTTGGTCATAACAGGCTGTAAGGTGAGCTATGATATGTAGTCTATAGTTCATTGGTCATACGCTGTGTGAAAATGTAGGATTTCTCTAATCAAATAGGGAAGAAGAGACATTGGTGAACAATTAGTAATCTCTGCCTTAGGAACTATACTTAACAGACAACATTGTAAAAGACAGACATGGGGCTTCCCTGGTGGCGCAGTGGTTGAGAGTCCGCCTGCCGATGCAGGGGACACGGGTTCGTGCCCCAGTCCGGGAAGATCCCACATGCCGTGGAGCAGCTGGGCCCGTGAGCCATGGCCGCTGAGCCTGCGCGTCCAGAGCCTGTGCTCCGCAACGGGAGAGGCCGCAACAGTGAGAGGCCCGCATACTGAAAAAAAATATATATATATCCTTTGTCTGGGGGAAGGGGCTGGGGAGAGAAGAGAAGTAGAGCAGGGGAGGGAGGCACAACATTTGGAGAAGTTATGACTAAGTTTAGCTGCTTGAAGGAGATTTGCCAGAGGCCTGAATCCAATGCACGGAAGCCCCAGGGCACCCAGCAGCATCTCACATCCTGTGCTGTTTCCCAGCCCGACTGCCTTCAAAGATGCAAGAAGGGTGAGGAGGGGAAAGAGGAGGAGAAAAGCTAATAGCTGAACTCCCCTACTTTCCAACTGCCCTCCTCCATTTGAAAAGTGAACTAATAGAGGGTTAGGGACGAGTGGAGACAGATCTGTGCTTGCATCCGGCCAAGCAGAGGAAGGAGCAGTAACGTTGCAGAGGTATTATTATGCTGCCTCGCCAGCATCCTTAGAATAAACCCCCAAGGAGTTCAGGTTGAAGTGGAACAGTCACAGTGCAGCTAACCCATCCTGCACTTGGAAAGAGCTATGGCAGCACTACCTAAAGACGCAAGTGCAGCAACTCTTAACAATCACGAGGATTCTTGCTTGTTTACATCTTCTATTGGGGTTGGGGGACACTCTGTTCATGGCTCCACAGAGCCCCCAAAGAATGCACACATCCCTTTCTTTCACTATCTTTCTGCCAATGCTTAAGAAAGAAAAAAATCGCTTACAGATGGCCCATGTGTGCACGTGTGTGCGTGAGTGTACGTGTGTGTGTGCATGCGCGCCAGCCCTCCCTTAGCAAAAGCTAGTCTTTTTTGCTCCTTTTTCTCTTCCCTGTAGCCCCAGAGAGCTAAAGAGAGCCTCTTGTCCCATCCTTGAGAGGACCTGTCAGCCAGCAAAGTATCAATAATCCCTTTAAGGAGTTTAAAAATAATTTGCTTTCCTGGGGCTTCCTGGTCAGAATTTGGTTTGGGGATTTGGGCAGATTGCAAAGGGAAAACTACTCTGGACTGGCAATCTTGAGTCCTGAGTGTCTAAGAGTCACCGGGTGTGACCTTTAGGGGTCATGTTGTGGACTGAAGGAATGTTTGTTAGGTGTTGAACCACAGACCTTCCATCCAGCATTTCCACTTCTGAGAATTTCTCTTGAAGAAATGATCACAAAAGTGTACAGAGATTACTAGAAGGCCAGTAGTAACATCATATGTAAAATTTTAAAAAAAGAAAAGAAAACCAAAAAAATTTGGAGAAACCAAATTGTCAACTGTAGGGAATAGATTATGCTAATTATAAGGCATCTTATCTCTGCAACAGAAACACACACACACACACACACACACACACACACACTAAGAAAAAGAAAGACTAAATTGATAAACAGCAAGAAATGTCAGGTCAGGAACATGGCATTTACCAAAGAAATAGTTTTTAAAAATCTAATAAAATGCCTACAAGCATATTAGTTTGGCAGATCTGTATTGAATGCCTACTCTGTGCCAATGCTGGCGATACATTGCTTAATAAATACAGACCTGGACCTTACCTTCAGGGAGCTTATGGTCTGGCCTAGGTAAGAGCTGTTATATTTGAACAATAGTATTAAACATGATTTTGTATCTTCTTTCTTCTTTTCTCCTGGGAATTGAGAAATATCTTTGTTTTTGTAATTTTGAAAAGTTTGAAAGTAAGTCACCTTGTATTTGGACAACACTTTCACAGTCACTATGTATCTGCTTCTCACAGCTGTTGATGCAGAGGGAGAGATGGGGGGAAAGGGGGAAGGCAGCAGGGACACGTGTCACTGGGCAGGAATCTGCTGTGGGACAGGCGTACCTACTTTACCCTATTCAGTCCCCAGGACACCTCAGGGAGCCATGCACTCACCGTTAACGCTGCTTTGCAGTTAAGAAACCTCTCAGATCAGGATTCTAATATCCAGGGCTGTATTAGACCTGACCCAAGTTCACCAGTTCACACTTCCTTCAACTGCATGAAACTGCACAGAAACGGGTGGCTTAGGGAACTCCAACCGGAAGTTATACCATCCCCTGGAATTCCAACACAGAACTAGTTTCTTGATAAGTTTCCCTTTTTAATTCTCTACCCCCTGCCAGTAGCTTCACTTCCTCTGATTCAGTTCTTACAACTGTAACATGAAGAGGGTAATAACTTTCTCCAAAGGGTTAGTGAAGCATTAAATTAGTTAATACAGTAAGGCTCTCCAAATAGGGCCTGATGTGCAGTAAGCTCTCAGTCAATGTTATCTGTCATCATTATCATTATCATTGTTGCTATTAATTACACTGTTTTTTGTCCCAGTGCATAGACAAAACCACACCCAGTCCCCATAGGCTCTTCCTTTTTCCTCAGTGTCTCCCTTACCCTCTAATCAGGTACCAAGTCCTGTGGATTCTGGCCTTCATTGTATCTCCCATGGTGATAGGCTTCTCTTTGGTAACTGGGGGCAAAAAATAACAGTAGGGATTTTATCAATATGGCAGCGATCTCTCAGGGCTTAAGCTGAAGAATCAATGGATATGAGGCTCAGGAAGACAAGATAGGCCTCAGAGGGGCGAGATACCAAAAGGGAAGGCTGATTAAAAGGCAAGATAAGTGATCACTTTGACAACATAAAGATGTCCCACTTCCCCGGGTTTAACAGGCTAAGCAAGAAAAGAGGATTCTCTATCTGCAGAGGTCTTTGCAGAATCTAAGCCAAGTCTGTTCTGCTAGCTTATCCAGATTAATGGAGAGCAGTCGAGCTACTTAGGCTGAGCCTCTGAATGTAGGAGCCACGAGGAACGTATTTTCAAAGAGGTGGTAAAACAATTACACCGTTAAAAATTATTAAAATAGTGGCTCTGTGATTTTGGAGTATGTAACTTCAACCCTCTGAGACTTGTTTCCCTCCCTGGTAGTTAAAGATCATAAAGTTTATCTCATGGGGCTTTTATGAAGATGAAATATATATAATCGATCTGGCACATAGGAGGGAATCAATAAATGGTAGCTATTATCATTACTATCATGGGTGATAAAATGAGGAAGACACAGCTGTTTTGTTCTGGTAAGGAAGCGAGAAGCAAATGGACATTTATTGAATAATATCTAATGAATTACACTATATGTCATATAGTATGAGTGTATATATGTGTATATACACATATAATCGATGCTTATTGTTAATAATTAACAGTTGTTGAAAGTTAACGATTGTTATTTGGTAATGGTTGTTAATAATATCTTAGCTTTGACAGTAGTATCTCATATTAAGACAATAAAATGAAATACCAATAAAAACTCTGGACACAAAGTACGGGGGGCTTTCTCATGGGTGAGCA